GTTTATTAACAAAAGAAAAAAAAGGTTGAGAGTAAGATTGTTAAGGAGAATACATTCCTTACATCAATTACAAAGTTCTTGATGCAGGTTCTTAGCAGAGATGTTACAAACTGCTATCTTAGAAGTCTCTGGTGTACATCCTATGTCAGGATGTGTCAGCAATCCTTCCTGGCTCTCTGTCCCTAGCAAGGATGCATCTGGGATCAGTAGCAAGATTGAAGACAAGATGGAGACTGCCTCATGGCCCCTTTATATCACCTGCGGTGTGGCTAATGGGGGTCAAAGTACATTTTAAAAAAATTCTTTGGGCCCACAGCCCCTCTGCCTCCGAGTTAATGTCACACACATTGGGGTAAAGCAACTGCAGGAAAGTTGCACGAGGGGAGTTTGTGTGTGTGGGGGGGGGGAACTAATCCCTATTGGTAGGAGGATGGTGGGAAAAGTCCTTGGGGGGGTCACATGACACCTTTTACTTCTGGTCATGTGTCCATCTTGCCAGGAGAGTATTACCTTCAGAGGTGTGGCCAATGGGAGTCAGGGGGCGTGGTTAACAGGGTCAGAGGTGTGGCTAATGGGGGTCAAAGTACATTTTAAAAAAATTCTTTGGGCCCACAGCCTAATGAAATGTCCTGCGCATGCCTATGTGGTCTGATATTATTGTTTCCCAACAATGTAGAAAGAGACGGAGCCTGTGGTCGAATATTGGTTTCTGGCTTGTTGGCACTGGTTGATATTGGAGATCGGGCAGACTCCCAACCAAGACTTCAAATTTGCTGCTTAGGGGCCTGAGAAGCCGATAAACGTGACTGAAATGGACGCTTCCTCTGGAATCTCTATCTGGGATGGTTATGGTCATAAGGTTTATGCTGGGGGCGGCTATAGAAGCTGTCCCTGTTCTTGCTGTAAGGGAGGTAGTGTCTGCGACGATATGGAGGGGTGCCCATGCCTAATGTGCGGAGGGTTATTCAGGAGTCCTTACTGTTATGAAGGATCTCATCTGTATCTGCTGCAAAAAGTTTTGACTTGTCAAATGGGAGATCCTGAACGCTAGGCTGAAGCTCCTGAGGCACCCCAGCAGCATGTAGCCGGGAGGGTCTCCTCATGACTGCGTCTGCCATATCAATGGTGGATAATAAGGCTGTATTTGCAACGGTGTGGCCCTCCTGAATCTCTGCCCTGAGAGTCTGGGGCTTTTGGAGTCTGGCAGGTGTTCAATCAGCTGTTAGGTCGGAGTAATTATCAAAATAAAAAAGGCCAAATAGTTTGCTATGTGAAGATGTGATATGGCTGAAGAGTAGAGCTTTCTGTGAAACAGGTCTAGTTTCTTGTGCTCGTTATCAAAAAGCGTGCCCTTGATCTGAGGGGCTTTAGAGCATTGATTAGCTGCGTCCACGACCAGGGATTTCGGTTGTGGATGAAAGAGAAATTCTAGAGCCTTAGGGGGAACAAACTATTTGTGGTCCGCCTTTTTGCAAGTTGGTTGGATGGAAGCAGGTGTCTACCAGATGTCATCAGGCACCTCCATGATCGCCTCGTCAATTGGCAATGCTATTCACCCCTGGGCAGCTAGATGTATGTTTTTAAAAAGGTGGTATTGCTTCTCCTGAGAGGTGGCCACCCTCTTGAAAAGCTCTTGAAATTGTTTTAAATCATTGGAGGCATAACCATTGGAATTACAGCTTCCTCTGGGCCAAGGATAAATTGTTTCCCGGAGAGTGAGGAGGCACCTTCATAGCGATGTCATTCCCCTAGGATCTGACCTTCCTCCTCCTCCTCAGAGTCAATTGTGGTGGGAATAGTGTGAGATGGTGAGGATGGAGCCAGTTCTAGGATGTGGCATTTATGGGGTGCCCAAGGCTCCCATGGAGCCCAACAGGAAGGGGAGGACGCAGGTAGTGCCAGTCAGGATACCACAGTGTGTGGCATGGTCTGTAGTGATAGTACTGTCAAGATGCAGTTGTGGGGGGAGAAGAGAGTTGTGAAGAGAAAATACCCCTCATGCGGTGATGGAGACCTAGCACAGCCCCTGCATAATTGAAGGGAAGGGGGCACCGGGGAAGGCTCCCTCAAAGGGGGAAGGGAGAGTAATGATACATCATTGGTCCCGTGTCAGTAAATTGGGGTTACTGGTGGCTAGGTCAGCATGGTGTGGGCGCACTGATAGCCACCCCCTTGACAGTGCCTCTGAGGCATGAGAGCCCTGTGAGGATGATGGCCCATCATCTGGCAGCGCCAGAGTCTTAAGAGACTGTTTGGCAGGCTACTCCTTGCTCCTTCCCAGGGCCGTGCTTATAAGCAGTTGGCAGCGGTGCCCATGTGTGGCAATGCGGTTTGGCACCGAGAGCAAGCGGGCCAGCCACACTGTTCTGGGAGTTGTGGTCACTATGCTCGTGGTGGGTGCTGGCACCACAGTCAAAGAGGTGCTTGGCACATCTCCGCTGGTCCCACGGGGGGACAGACTGCAGCAGTGGTTACATTTCTGAGGGGAGTGTGATTCACCCAGGCAGCCTATGCAGGAGCGATGCCTGTCGAAGTAGGTAGAGGCTCCTTACAGTGCTGACACTTCTTAAAAAGTATCATGCTGAGGAGATAGCAGAAGCCCCTTTACCTGGGGCCAGGTAGCTGACAGCTATAATTAGCTCCCTGCTGTTAACAGCTGATAAACAGGAGCCTGTGAACAGTTGATATAGTCCAACCAACTGCTGTTGAGCAGGTCACCAAGCCAACCGTTAATGTTGTGACAGAGTTGGATTACCAATTAAATATACACAAAATACAGCTTCTCCTCTTGTGTGAGGCCATTTCCAGCCTCTACAAATGAAATGCTACATGAAATCCCATAGAACTCTTAGATGCTAACCCCAAAAGCTAGGAGTAATGTATTTGTGTAATTACATTTTACCACAGAATTCCCCTTTCATTATCAGTTAGATAGGCTATGTCTAGACTGCAGGCTCCTTTCGGAAGAAGCTTTCTGGAAGAGATTTTTCGGAAAAACTTTTCAAAAGAGAATATCCTCACAGCAGAAGTGAATAGAAAAAGGGAGCTGCTTTTTCAAAAGATAGCATCCAATCAATGTGGAGGCGCTCTCGCATTTAAGTTGTGATTACTGTGGAGGGAATGGCTTTTTCCCGGAGGCCTCTTTTTTCGAAAAAAACCCTCTCTCGTCCACAAGCCTTTTTCCTAAAGAGCTCTTCGGAAAAAAATTCTTCCTCATAGAAAGGTTTACCACTGCTGGAAAAACTCTGCGTTCTTTTGACACTGTAGAAAGAATGCAATTGCAGTGTGTCCGTGTAGTTTTTCTGGAAAAACGCCTGTTTTTCCAGAAAAATTGTGCAGTAGACATATCCATACGGTATTCTTTACTTTCTCTTCCAAAACTGTAAATACTATTGTGCACTCAATATTGTTACTAGAAAATAGTTTCCTCTTACTAGATCTCAAATTATTCAAAATTAAAGCATTCCCCCAACCACATGTGAGTGATAATTAATTCAATCTGGATAAGTGGTAAAGGAACTATTCAACATTTTCACTTATTTCTAGTAAACCAGTTACAGCACTGCCACATTCAAATCACAAATAGCATAGGTAGGTTTAAATCCAATTCAGAAAGCCAACTTATAACTGGTCTTTTTTTTTTTTTCTTGCAGAGAAGTTCTAATTATAACTGTAGCACCTAGGTAACACAGAAACTATGGGATATGTTAACTATGGATGTAAAATGTTTAACTGTCTCCAGTTACAATGGATTTAACTAAGGAGAAAGTGGGGTATTTAATATGTGCATATGAAACTATTTCATAGATGGTCCTTTTCAAAAGTGAATTACCAATCAAACTACTGCAGATGTGCAATATGTACATTTTGGTTTCTTCTTGAGCTTTCACATGACTCCACTGCATGCAGAGTAGACGACCACTTTGGTAAAGAAACCTTTTACAGTCTCAGTTTGTAACTTTAGCTAAAAAGGATGGGAATTTGCATTTGGGATAAAGTTTGCTTTCCTCTCATTTTGATTAACAGTCAGCAGTAAGGCTGAGCAAGGGAAGAGTGAGGTCAAGGATGCATAGAAAAAGATAGTATATAGTTTGTGTCCAACAGATGCAAACAAAAGTCCCAACCTAAGCCCAAACTGGAGTAAAAAGTTGACATTATCAGTGAAAGTCTGTTCTTCTTTTCAAACTGGAGTAAAAAGTTGACATTATCAGTGAAAGCCTGCTCTTCTACCATGTTTTTGTTTGGAATTCTAGCAGAAAAGATGTGCTAGTTAGAGCTATTTAGATAATCTGTACCCTGGTGTGTTACTTCTCAACATATCTGGACAGTTGAAATCCAGGACCACCAGAACACCAAGCTTTAAAAAGTTTTACAAATTCATAGCTGACACTAACAATTTCACTAGAGAGCTGTAATGAAGTTCACTAAGTATTTAGTCATATTCGATCAGCTTGAATAAAATAAATTTGATATATTGTATACATGCCTAAAATTTCTCATGGGATTGGACTTAATGTGTGTGTTTAATCATTGACGCTAAATATACATGCCTAAAATTTCTCATGGGATTGGACTTAATTTTAACGTCAATGATTAAACACACACATTGTTTAATACACAAGTTAATGCAGGATTTGAAAAGGATGCAAAAATTGACAATGTTACAAATGGAAAGATTTTACTCCAGAAAAAAGTACAGCACAGGCCCTGGCAGTGCAAATGCATAACATTGCTAATGTGCCTCCATCCCATTAATAGCAATAATTTCTAATGGTGACAGTAGGTTAGACTCCAAGTCTATTTAGTCACTAAGCCCCAACAAGTGTCCCAGTTAGTTTCAGTTATGTGGGCCACATTCATATTACTGAACTAGAGTTGTATACCTCTATGTCCTGCTCTTCATCACTACTCCAACAGTGGTTTACCTAAGGCTTAGGGTAATTTTGTGAAGGGGACTGCTTTAACACAACACCTTTCTAATTATCACTCACTTCTCCACAAATTTTAAATAAAAGTTTATTAGAGAAATTACTTTGAACAAAAAAGGCAACAATATTTGTTTTCTCATTTAAAAAAAGTAACATTGTTTTCTTCATGCCCTATAAGGTGAACTGAAGAAATGCTACAGAAAGATATTTCTTTGCACTGCCTTTCTGCGACGCATTCTAGCATGGATTAACTCATGTCTGCATCACTTGAATAAGTTATGAATAGTCCTTTCCCATACTCTGCTCCAGAAAGTGCTGCATATTAACAGAAAATCTTGCACAAATCCCACGTTTCTATTCATTCTGCAGTATTGGAACCAGTATCTAGAAAAGAAAGAGAATGTGTATAAATAGGAGATGATTTTGCACTGTTTTAAGTAAGAGTTAACAAAAAAAACCAAAAAAACCCCTAATTTTCTCTAGGTGAGTAAATGTTTCCTTGACAACAACTCAAAATAAAACAATTTAGTGTCTGCGTTTTAAGAGCTGAAGTAATATTGTCTGGGTGCAAAACTGTTTCTGTATGTATCCTCCTCCAATGGCAGGAACAGATATGGGTGTTATTTTACTTTGCTAGCTATAATAAAAACTTTGAATGCAAAAATTTGTCTCACCATAGGATTTGCTATTAAGCCTTCATTGTTTAAAATGGAATTAAGTTTGCTCTACATTAGAGCAATACAGGCAGTCCCCAAGTTACGCGGATCCGGGACCCCTCCGCCTCCCTGGCTTTGCTCCCGGTGTCCCTGGTCTGCTGGAGACGGTCCCCAGCAGACCAGGGGCACTGGGAGCAAAGCGGCAGTGGAATCCCACGCCTCTGAGGCTTTGCCAAAATATAGGCTTTGGTAGAGTCGGGATGATTATGTATTTAATATAAATTTAAGATATCATATAGACACGAGTTCTTTATGAAACTGAGACTTGAATACGCAATAAACACTGTATTCTGTAAGAGAGGCCTCTAGTTATTGCTATTTGCTACTCTTATCACTCTCTTGTTCCTAGGGCCAAGGGACAAATGACAGAGGGGTAGCCGTGTTAAGTCTGAATCTGCAAAAGCAGCTGGCCTGCATATTTATACCTGCCTCTGGAAATTTCCACTACATGCATCTGACGAAGTGGATCTTTGCCCACGAAAGCTTATGCTCCAACACTTCAGTTAGTCTATAAGGTGCCACAGGACTCCGCGCCGCTTTTAAAGGACAAATGCCTAATCTAGCCATTGTCTTCAAGACATGATAATAATGGATAGGAGAATACTTAAAGCTAACTACTTCCTGAAAAATGCTAAAATACTGTAGGTATTTGTTGGCAATTTTATGGTACTCTGGTCTTCAAATCTGGTTCTTGACACGACCCCCCCCCCTTCCCTCCTCTTCACTGGAGTCTAGCTAACCAGACATGCTCCTCTGTTTTTCCCCTCTTCCCTGACCTTTGCTTTCTCAGTTACAATTTATGTTAAGCTTTTTATCATGCCTTTGATATGTTATTTTTAGTGCAATGCAATTTCTTGTACTCAAGGCCATCATGAGGCCCAACTTTGCCCAGACAGCATATTGCTTATGAACAGGGCTTGCTGAGCTGCAGCCAGCTCTGCTCGTCAGCCACATTGTTCTGTGCTCTGTACATGCGCAGAACAATCTGCGCATGCGCAGATCGCTCCGCACCAGCTCTTCCAGGGTATAATCTACTCACCACAGGCGAGTAGATTACACTATTTGTCGAGCCCTGCTTATGAATAAGTATGTAATCCGTGGAATGTGCGTGAGGTGTGAATGACAAATACCCAATCAAAGGCATTTTAGGATCCCCAGCAGACAAGACTCTTCAAGCAGATAAATTAACTGAAGCAGCCAGAAAACGTCATTCTCTCAGACAATATGTAGTATCACAGCAGAAACTTGGGACCAGCCCAGAGAAGTAAAGCCTCCTGCAGATCCGAAGGGATCTCCCAAGGAACATCATAGTTGAGTCTCCGGGAAGCTGACGCCGGCCAGCACTCCAGCCACCACCAAAATCAAAAGTAATCTACACCGCACTTGCAGCTTGCCTCCAAACTGCCAGCATGACTGTGATGTATGTGCGCGCACGCGAGTATCACTTTACTCTTAAGAATCTGTGCCAATGAACAACCCCAAAAGCAATAGTGCTCCAGTCCACCCTTTGTCCAGGTTTGTTCCTCAACAGGTCTGAGGAAGTGCAACAGTGACAGAAGTAGAAATTATTCAGACATAGGAAGCTTTTTCTTTAACTGCTACAATAAATACAACTCAAGAAAAACAGATGGATCAAGGTGACATGCATGTCCAACATTAAAGACAAGGTACTTGTGTGGAATAATTCAACAATTGTCGAAAACCAATTAGTCTAAAAACCATCACTATAATTGGTCAAGGAGCCCTAAAGCATCAGTTCCATGCTCCAAGAATTTTAAAAGTAGTACTATAAAGGGTTTTCTGTTCTGACCCTCCTCCCCCGGCTTTTAACGTATTAAGGGAATTTTAAGCAACTAAAATCCATCAGCGATAAGCTATAAAAGATTCTTCTTATAGAAGAAACCATTTCAACAGAACATTTGAGTAAACAAGCCAGATAAGTAGAGATGGAATGTACAAGCTAATGACGTTCTATGGACAATACATACGTGGCAGTCAAATCATGGAGAGCACAAATTATAGGACTTGGTCTGTAATACTGAAGGCAAATCCTGGGGTTCCTCTGTCTCCTAGGATACTGAACTAATGTTTTACCAAAAGATTCCAACAATGCCCTTATTAGTTACTTATTGTTGCTGAACAAACAGTTCCATTTTTCATCTGTTGATCCATTAGTAGCTCCAAAAAGGTTTATATCTTTACTTAAATATCCCATGGCCATATTTTGATAACCAGAAGATTGATATTTGGAAGAAATAGGAATGGTTTCTACTGAAAAAAAAAAATCCTATCCTGTTTTTTTTTTTTTGTTAGTTCTAAGTCTTAGTAACGAGTGACAAATGAGCCTTAGCAATGTTAATTTCTGGTAGTACTTTCACTTGTCACAAGAACATTTATGTTTGTTCATATACCACAAAAATACAACCCAAGGCAGTCTCAACTAAAATAGCTGCTTTAAATAAGACTTAAATGATTGAGTGGAGAATCACTTGTAACTTGCTCATCTGAATGTACCTAATTTCTGAGTGTGTGCAGGAACAAGGCCATGCACTCTTGTTTTAGTCTGAGTTTCACAGAATTGCAATCAGAGGTAAAAGACCGCATCAACTACTAACTGTTTAGGAATTCTGGCTGTATGAAGTGTATTTTGCAATATCATTCAAGTCTCATCTTTACCAACCTAATATGTATATCACAGTTCAGTATTATACTTACTTTTTCCATCACATGCCACAATTTTCACTTTATCCACTTTCACAAGTTCAGTTACCTCTCTAAATTCAACATCGTTCAGTACAAAAGTCCACACATTATCACAGAACCTGTATGTATTCAGAGAGCCCTTAAAAGAAAGATTAAAAAAGTTTAAAAGATCTCCAGCACAGAAACCAATGCCTAAAAAATTGCCATCTTCTTTGCAAAATAGTTATTTAATGATAAGATCTAAGTCACACAGATTTAAGTAAAGTAAACTGAAAAAGATTGTGTAGTTTGAGTGCCCCCATGTGGTAAAAATTCTCAGTTTCATGCAAAACCATATGGCTCTCTTTGAGACACCGACTTCCTGAGAAAGCTACAGAACAACAGTGATCTTCCTGAAAAGACCATCTTGGCCACAATGGAAGTAGAAAGTCTTTACAGCAATATTCCACATGAGAATGGAGTACAAGCTATCAGAAACACTAGCCCCTGATGATGACACAGCACACCTGGTGGCTGAGCTAGGTAACTTGGTCCTCACCTCACAACTATTTCCAATTTGGGGACAATTTATACCTTCAAATCAGTAGCACTGCTATGTGTGCCTGTATTGCCCCACAATGTGCAGTAGCCAGAGGGGGCAGGCAGCACTGCAGAGATGGTGCGGGGGAGGAGGAAACCAGCTTTAAATATGGCTCCACCCAGCACTGGTTCCTGCTCCCCCCCCTTCCAGAGACAGCAATGGGGAGGGATCCCTAGCTTATGAGCTTGTAACTGCAGAAAACTGTAGAGTAGGAGTCGTGTTACAGCACTATCAAATGTTAACAGTTATCCTTGAGACATCAACTAGCTGACATAAAAGGAAAGGGCGCCGAGAGCTGTTTTTCAACTGCTGTAACTAACAGTGCAGGGGTGGAGGAGGCAAACTGAAACACCTTCCAGCTCCAAGTGGATTATATAGAGGGTTTACAGTTAGGTTCGGTGGTTCTCAGCACCTCTACTGCTGTATTTTCTAGATTGTGCTTAAACTTATTTTTCAAATGAGCTAGTGATTTTCTGAAATTTGATGCTGACCCTGCTATCCTCAGGCTGCTGAAAAGTAGAAAAAAAGGCTCCTTACTCTACAGCCTCAAAATGA